ATCGGAGTTCGTGGGACGTCATCGAGTTGAACGTGTGCTGAACTCGGAGGTGCCGTACATTCGGTACTTGGATCGGTCGGATCGTGAAGACGTACGACTACATCAACCATGTTGTGCTAACGCTTCCGCTTTCGGTCTACGAGGGTACATGGACAACACTCTCCCCTCTCGTTGCTATACATCACCATGATCTTGCGTGTGCGTACGAATTTTTTTGAAATTACTACGTTCCCCAACAAAAAGGATCAAAACAATCCGATGGTGCCATTTGACAGCCCTGCTATGGGCACTAGAAGCAAAAAAAACTTACCCAACTAGCCCTGTAATGGGCACAAGAAGCAAAAGATGGCTCAGCTTGTGAACTCCATCCAATTTATTTCACTTAAAGACACTTTTGTTGCTGCTCATGTCATGTTGTGTGGACTTAGAGTAATGTATGTGAACCTGGGTATGATGTGAGCCACTTTTGGGTTGCTAATATGATGTATACGTATGATGTATGTGAGTCATATATGTGTACATGGATGTGAGTCTGGATGTATATGCCTCATGCCATTGGCAAATTTGAAAGGTGTGTGTTGACAATGTATATATGAATTGTGTCAGAGGTTTTGCCCAATTTTGAATTAAATTTCAAAATAAAAATTGTCCAGAATTGCATGTTTACAAGGAAAGTTCTGCCCAATTTTGCAATTAATAGCAGGTAAAAGTTATTGCTCCCCACGTGAATGATTTTGGTCACAACTTGCATTAGGGGTAAGACCGTCTTTTCATGTGCCATTTAACACCGTTAGTACTCAAAATAGACGGAAGTGTCACAAAGGGAACAAATTTTAGCATTGTTGTTAGATAAGGAAGAAAAGGTTTTCCGTTGTTAAATAGAGCAAAAGAATTTAAGCCAGTGTTAAATAAGGAATTCTCTCATGGACTATCCCTTGGACAAGACCCGCATGCTTTTTGGGTTCAAACTCGTTTCAGTAGTACCCGAACCCCATCATACACGTCAAAATGCATAGCATATCCATTGATCCACCAATTTCTACACATCCACTGATCCAGCCTCGACTAAACGACCGGCGCAGCCCCAGCGCACCGGCCCCCAACCCAAATCACACGACCTTCACATCCCTGCTCGATAAACCCCTCTCTCGGTTGCTCCTCAATTCGCCCCCGCACACCACCTAAACCTAAACCTAATTTTTCCTCCCTCCGCCGCTGCTTGATCCCATCTCGTCACTCTTGGGTTCGTGTTCCTACAAGAGTCGGACATTACTTGAGGTAAAACACTAGAGGTTTTTTTATTCTCATTTTCTTCTTTTTTTGTTTCTTTCTTTTTTCTTTGGCTTTATTATTTTTCTCCAGCTTTCCATTTTTTGTTATTATAATTCATTTTTATTTGGTCTCTTTTTGTTTTTCAAGGTTTTTTCATTCTACATTATTTGTTTTGTTTGTTGTTGTCATTTTTGCTTGGTTTCCATTTTCTTTTCTATTTTTTGTTTTTCTTTTTGATTTCTTCTTATGTTTGTTTTCATTTTCACTCTACATTCTTGTATGTATCGGAAAAAAATTAATAAGCGATCAAATATTTTTTTTACACGTTCAACATAGTCCGAATGCTTAATCAACATTTTAATATTTTTCAAATACTTTTTCAACATTTTTTAGTACTCATTCAACATTTTTAAAATACTTCATCAACTTTTTTAATACTTATTCAACATTTTTCAAATACATGTTTAACTTTTCTAAATACTAATTAAACATTTCTTAATACTTATTCAACATTTTTCAAATACTTGTTCAACTTTTCAAATAATTATCCAATATTTTTAAATACTCGTGCAACATTTTTAATCTTTAGTCAACATTTTACAAATACTTATTCAACATTTTTTTGTTTCTTTCTTTTTTGTTTGGTTTTATTATGTTTCTCTGGCTTTTCTTTTTTCGTTATTATAATTCATTTTCCTTTTGGTTTCTCTTTGTTTTTTTCATGGTTTTTTCATTCTACATTCTTTGTTTTCTTTTTTCTTCTCCATTTCTTTTTAGTTTTATTTTTTCTTCTCTTTTTTTGTTTATGTTTTTGTTTTTTCTTATGTTGTTTTTCGTTTTCACTCTACATTTTTGTATGTGTCAAAAAAACATTTTTAATCAACAATCAACATTTTTTGTTTACATGTTCAACATTGTCTGGATGCTTATTCAACATTTTAAAATACTTGTTAAACATTTTAATACTTATTTCAATACATTTTAAATACTTGTTCAACATTTTTCAAATAATCGTTCAACATTTTTTAATACTTGTTCAGCATTTTTAATATTTATTCAACATTTTTCAAATATTTATTAAACTTTTTTAGTAGTTATTCAACAGTTTTCAGATACTTGTTCAACATTTTCAAATACTTGTTCGACAGTTTTAATACTTATTTAACATTTTCTAAATACTTATTCAACATTTACCAAATACTTGTTCGACATTTTTTTAAATACTCGTCCAGCAATTTTAAATACTTGTTCAACATTTGTCAAATACTTGTTCAACATTTTAATGCTTATTTAACATTTTCGAATACTTGTTCAATATTTTTCAAATGTGTTTTTGAAGAGTGTTTTTTTATATATACGTAGAATATTTTAAAGTATAAAAGAACAAAAAATAAGAACGGAAAAAGAAGAAAAAATTGGCCGTGTCCTTCCGCTTGGCTGGGCCGGCTCATCTGGGTTGTCCCCGACGCGAGGCATCCCCATGTGCTCGCTTAAAGTGATAAATAGGGGTGCCCGCCTCTCACCACGTCGACTTGCGGTTTCGTGGGCCGGCTGAGGACTCCTTGTCGATTTTATCCTGGGCCGCATCGGGCAGCCCCATAGTGTACACAAAGATGCTGGATTCGATTTGGTTGGCCTTTCACATGATCCCATTGTAATTTAGATAGCATATGCAGAATACATCTAAGTGGAGCATGCCACAGTAGGAGTCTGCAGAAAAATAGCATATGGAGAAGTAAGGCAACAGTAACAACTACTCACAAACATACTACCAGTTGGCTGGCTGGTGAAGTGACGTCCCACACTTCCTTGTTCCTTATCTGTACAAACTGGCCACACGGAAAAAACCTCTCTGTTCGTGATGCTTGCGAGGGAGGTCGCTGGATGCGTGATCTTCAAAGAATTTCTACCGAGCCTGCCTTAGATAGGTTTCTCGATCTATGGTTTCTCGATCTATCCATTGAACCTGACGACATACGATGGACTCTGACTGCCGACGGGCGCTATTCTGCTGCCTCCTACTATGTTGTCCAGTTCTCGACTTGGCCTGCGAGACCGGGCCTCAACGGCATCTAGCGCATTATGGTGGAAACCAAGATCAGATTCTACATGTGGCTGCTGTTACAAAATCGGAACTGGACGGCAGACTGTCTGCTTGCCAGAGGATGGACACATTCTGCTCATTGCTCCTTATGTGATCAAGTTCCTGAATCGGCCGTGCCCCTTTGACCTTTGTGAAGGAAGTTCGGCACCATTTCAAGGACTCTGACGGCGATACGGCTCCCACACTACCTCTATCAAGGAGTGGTGGAGAAAGAATATTGCTCTGCTCAAACCCAAGCCTCTAGTTTACTACTGCAGCCTATGTGGCGTGGAATTTTTGAAAAGAGAAAATCTCTGGAAATTGTGGATGCCCTGGCCCGAGACGATGTAAAATTGTTTCAGGGAGCTTTTAGTTAGTTTATCCCTTCCTTAGGTGACTCTGAGACATGCCAAGTTTTCTGAAGTTCAGTAACCATTTGTCTGTACACTTTGTAAATGAAAAAGCAGAGCTCCTGCTATTGCCTGTCAAAAAAAAAAAAAACCTAACAATTGCTAAAAGCTTAAATGCCCAAAATTCTTAGATGCGACTAACATGGGAACGTTGTGAATGTGCTACATGTCCTCTGAAGCTTAGATGACCAAAAAAAAAAACTTAATCAGATGCAGAGTAACAGGTTACATGACCATCCGCGGCGGAGCTACGCTGGACGGAGCATCACTGAAGACCACAGTGCATCGGCCACAGCAGCGTGGGAGCGAGGCGAGGCCAGTTGAGCTGTTGTGAATGGCTAGCGATCGTGCGGCCGCTCCGTTTAAAAAAAGAGGTCCAGGTTTTTCTTAAACAGAGAAAATACTCTGTCTTTGTAAATCTACTCTACTATTAATACTAGTAATGTTTTTGTGATAACTAAAAACCTCAAAGTAAATAATACTATGGCATTCTAAGAAAACTATAGTATTCTCGAAATACTTAGAAAATACTCTGCTATCAAACGGAGCCGGTATACCAGGCCTAGTATATAAACAATGACAGGGTTCAGAATTGCTCTATCTCATAATGAAATTCTGAATGATAAAGTGAAGAGCGCTCAGCGAAACCTCAGCTGTGAATACTTAACATGAGTAGTTTATACAGTACAAGTTCTCATTTTGCAACTAACTGAAACAATGAATGAATTTCAGCATGTAACTCTGGTTGCCAGCTGAATAGACGGAAGCGTTTGCATATCACCAGGTTCTTCACGCCGTGAGTGACTCTTGACGGGTTTTTGTCTAAATATTTAAGTTACAATCAAGTAGTACTGGTGTACATGAAGACAAAGGTCCACACAGATGGAGATCTTCTTAATGTAATAATTCTTAACTGCAGTAAATAAACGAATGTCATCCCGGCAAAATAAAAATGAATATCATAGATCAAATAGCAACTGTACGTAGGCCACTTTTATTTGAGTTTCAGGCAACGAGAATAGTAGCTTCAGGACACGATTCCAGTTAAACCACCCGCAGCTGTGTTTTAGTTGTACAGTTTCCCTAAAAGATAAAGAGTATCAGCCCGTCAAGAAGCTTCTTGAATATGTGGAGAAAATACACATATATTCAAGGGAAAAAACCAATTAACTTGATTGCAGACAGCATGAACTATTTGAATATCGTAATAGTAAAAGTAGCCATACCTCCTGTCATTATTCATTTCTTAATTCGAGAGTCAATCTGGGATGGTTGGGATGGAGACTTGCTTCATTCCTTATGGCAACTTCTGCAGCCTCAACTTCAGAAGATGTGGCATCCCGCTTCTGAAGAATAACTAGTAAAACTTTCAGATATGGGAGGTGCTCAATACCTAAGTAGAACCCATAGGACTTTGCCATTGATACAGAAAACCACAGCTGAAGCCTCTCAAGCTTTGGCAGTGCACCTTTCTCAAACAGAAGGGACCCTGCACCTTCACTAGAAGGTTGAAAAATGAACTCCTTCAAACATCGGAATCCTCTGCCTTGCAAAACAAGCCTGTCTTTATGGACCGTGTTGGTATAAAGTTTCAGACAAAGTAATGCAGACAGCTCTCCAAGTATGCCAAGAACCTCCTCTGTTATTACATTTAAATTAATGTCCAGGTATGCAAGACTGGAGAGATCTGGAGTAATCCACTTTGGCAGTTTCGATAAACAGTACTCGGTGGTGCCCATCTCAAATCTTTGGAGGCAAGATGGAAGAGGAGGCCAGGAATCTAATAACTCAAATAGATATGAAGTACCACCACATATATGCACGGACTGGAGTTTGTAGCTGCCAAGCTTGCATAGTGTGGAATGAAACATCTCTGCATGACTCTTTCATTGTTGAGATTCTGCACCTTCCACCTTGAACCATACATGGAGTACCTTCAAATTGACCAGGCTCCCTAGCTCCTTCACTGCGCCTACTGAACTCATGGTAATGTCAAAGCCTGTGATCTCCCTTAAGTTTGTCATATTCCCAATCCCGATTGGTATCTTCCACTCATGTACGTAAGTGTAAACGAGTAGATGTTGTAGTTTAGTGAGCTGAACAATTCTAGCCGGCAAGTCTTTGATTTTTGTACTCCTTAAATCCAACGTCTCTAGATCATGTAGCATCACAATTCCAGATGGTAGCTCATGTATGTCCGTTCTCCTAAAGCTTAGGTACTTTAGCTGGAAAAGGTTTTCCATACCATCCATATCATACTGTGCCACGCCCCGGCAATCTTCAAAATCTAGTACACGTAAAGCTTCAAACTTTGTTAGACTGGGCAAGTGTTTGATGCAACCTGATGCTGTTATTATAAGAGACCGGACATGGCTTACATCTTTCCTTGCCAATTCATACGCAAGCTCCTCGTCAATGTCCTGGATCGATAAACGTCGAATAGAACACTGAGAATTTCCCCAAACAGTTTGACTGCCGTTCACCACAGTGATGAAATTTTCTTCAATGGATTTTGAAATGATAAGTTCAAGCATCATGTCATGAACTCGACAGGCCCGTACCTTCCCATCATAGCGAATATCCACTGGTTGGACCACGCTTTTATTGATAGGCTCGTAAAAATAACTTTCTGCAACCTGTTGATAGCTCCTCCCACGCTCTTCAGAAATAAAGCCTTCCGCAATCCATTGCCTCACCAACCTTTCCCTGTCAATCACATAATCCTCGGGGAAATTACTCAAGTGTACAAGACAGTCTTGAGGTTTGGTGGAAGATCATTATAGCTCAAGGACAATATGTTTTTCATTATAGCTCAAGGACAATATGTTTCCATGCAAGTCATAACCAATTGATCTTTTCACCTTCTCCCACTCTTCTTTGACACGTGGTCTGTTAGCTAATAAACCAGTTATACTGATAATTGCCAATGGTAGGCCTCCACACTTTTTCAGATAGTATTTGAAACTTCAATAAGCATATCAGGGCAGCGCTCATCTGAGCCAAAGATTCTATTACGAAATAGTCTTTCAGAGTGGAGATTACTTAGAGGTGCCATTTCATAGATCTGGTCAGCAGGATCTGGACAACAAGACGTTGATACTTCCAATATGCGTGTTGTAGTTATAATTCTGCTTGAAGACTTATTCTCTCGAAAAGCACAGTTGATTGCTTTCCATGCTAATGGGGACCATATATCATCAATGATGACAAGATACCTAAGACAGGGAAGTAGGAGTGTAAACCAATTTGGATAAAAAATATAATTGCACTATAAAAGAAAAGAAAAGAAAAGAAAAGAAAAGAAAAACAATTGTAAAATTCCAATCGGCATGTAAACCATGCAATGACAGAGCAACTGGTGGTGCAATGGTGCTCCTTCTACCCGCATCAAAATTACATCGTTGAAACAACTAATAACTAGAATAATGATACTACACACATTTCATAGAAAATAATTGGCAAGACATATATTACCTTTTTTCTTGTAGAAGTTCTCTCAGCTTTGTAATGGATTTCTTTTCATCCCAGCTCTCCATATCTTTTGTGAATTCATCCTTGCGAGACATCTGCGAAATCAAATCCTTGATGATTTTCTTTGTATCTGGCTTTTGTGAGACCGACACAAAAGCATGGCAGTCAAAATGCCCTTGAATCTTGCGATAGACTTCATTCGCTAGTGTTGTCTTTCCCAATCCACCAAACCCAACAACCGACAACACTCGACGATGCTGCTTGTTCTCTTCTTCTAGCATCCACTTGGCAAGATCTTCTCTTGGACTGTCGATGCCAACAAGGTGTGCCTCCTCAGCAAAAAGAGCAGCTAGAAGCAATATCGTCCAGCTTGTAGCTAGTCTTGAGTTCCTTCACCTCCTTGATACGAAGCTTCAGATCATCGATTTGGTTGGCGATCCCACGCCGAGCTCCAAGCGTCTTCAGACGCCGAGCAGTCTTGCGGAAGAACTCCTTGAATCCGCCGTCAGGACCCCCACCATCGCCGAGCTGGTGGATGAACTTGTCAAAACAATCCTCCGTATCGTAGGACAGCTCCCTGACCAGCGACAGCGATACCCATATCCTCACATGCTCATCAGGATTCTCTAGCCTGGTGTACTTCATGAGCGCACCATGCATGCCGGCAAGCTCAACCTTGAGGGAGCGGATCTCACGGCGGACCCCTTTGAGTCGGCCGCACTCACTGGCGAGCAAATCGGCGAGCTTCCCTAGCAGAGGACCCAGCGCCCCCAGTGCGGCGGTCACCATAGGACCTTCCTCTGCTCCTGGCGAGGTTGGCTCACGTCACGGCTCAATCTTTCCGGAGAAGCTTGGGGCGCCACTACTCAAACAGCTGCGGCACGGATCGAGCAAAGGATCGAGCAAATCGAGCAAAATATGAAGCAGAACGAATGAAATAAGACATGAGCAGCACAGCACTCGCACCCGCCGCGTGGCAATGTCCAGCAGAATCGCCCGCGTAACGCCGGCGCACCGCGAGCCCGACGCGGCCTCGGTTTGGCGAGGGTGACCGGGTGCGTCAACGATATCCGCGAGCCGGCAGGAGGAGGAGAGCCGCCGCCGCCATGGAGTGGAGCCTGGAGAGTGGAAATCTAGCTAATGGGATCTCTTGATGGGTGTTTATCGGCTGCCATGGGCTGTGGATTGGCCCATCGCTGTGGAACCGAGCGATTGTGGAACTGTAGATACTGAATGCTTGATGTGTGCTCTGTTTCTGTTCATCGTTCTCAACTTGCGAATGATTAAGCCGGCGGAGGACAGGCCAGCAGCGGCCCCGTTCACGTAGAGGAAATAGTGGCTTCGTCTCCGGCGACAGAGGATCGAAAGGCTTCATCTCCGGCGACGACGACGAAGGCGGCGACGGAGGATCCAATTGGCGAGACCAGGCTCTGTGTGCGGGCCGGCTATCGTATCAGGAGGCTGGATTCGTTTGGGAGCTTTCATCCCATATGCCTTTGTTTTTAGAACAAAACTCTTCCTTCACAGCCAAAAAATGTACTTCTTCCAAAAAAAAGTAGAAGTGTTTTTTTCTGGCTGTGAAGAAGAGTTTTGTTTTATTGGGAATATATTCTTTATCTACTCTGAGAAAGTATTTTCGAAATCACTAATTAAGGAGTACTCCTTGCGGAGATCACTCCAACTTTCCCAGGTTGCGACGAGTGGCGCGCTGCATGTGCGCCTCTTGTCGCAACCTGCGTGTTTTCCCTTTTTTCGTAGATTCGTTTATTCAAAACATTTTATCTCTTAAACGGTGCGTCCAAATCTCGAACCGCTTTCGCCGTTGGATTCCCCGCATCGAGATATTCAAAACTAGATCCCACGTTGATAGGTTTTGACGAACTTTTTTTTCACGAATAAACCGGACGAAAAAAATCGACGAAAAAACCAAACCTATAACACGGGTTTTTCCTTTTCCGAAAGAGGCATACCCGTGCCTCTGATGAAATCACAACCGTGCCTCTCGCGGAAGCAAAATCGTGCCTCTCACAAAAGAAAAAAAATTAGAAAACACGTTTTTCCCTTTTTGTAAGAGGCACGCCCGTGCCTCTCGTGAAAGCAAAACCGTGCCTCTCGCGAAAGAAAAAAAAAACAGAAAACATGTTTTTTTTCGTTTCCGAGGAGGCACGGCGGTGACTCTCGCGAAAGCACAACCGTGCCTCTCGCGGAAGCAAAACCGTGCCTCTCGCGAAAGAAAAAAAAGAAAACATGTTTTTTTCCCGTTTCCAAGAGGCACGGCCGTGCCTCTTGCGAAAACAAAACCGTGAGTTTCGCGAAAAAAATGCATCTTTTTGCGAAAAAAAGTTTTGTTTTTAAAAAAAAATTGGTCGAAAAGTTAGGGAAGATCGGTGGAAAACCAAAACGTCAAAAAAAACCCGGAAAAACCGTTTAAAAAGCCGAAAACGCGCGTGGAAAAATAAAAAAAATCAAATCCGGAGGGAGCGCCCAGAGCGCGACATGTGGCGAATAGCTGAGAGTGCGCCAAGTGACGCTGATCGTTGCGAGACTCCAGAAGGAGCGCTCGTTCATTAGTTGCGCCCAAGTATTTTTTAGTAATTTTTTGTAACTTCTTAGTGGATGGTGTTAACCTTCAAAACTAGAAAAAAACGAGGAATATAAAACAAACAACGTTTTATTTGGCAAGGCCCAATGCTCTCTCATATTCTATTGGAGAGCTTTAGCTTTTGTACAGTTCCGAACAGCATGTTGAGCATCCTCTGTGTATCTGCCACATATATTGCATATGCCATTAATTTCAAGTGTTCTCCTTCTTTTGTTCTCTTTTTTGGTAATGAATCAGTGGCAATTCTCCATGCCACAATACGGATATTTGTGAGGGATGCACGCTTTCCAAATCAAATTTCAATGTATTTTCCTTCCAGTGCTTACATTACTTGATGATCCAGAAGTTGTTTTCTTCTACTTCAAGCACATTCCCACCTTGTAGACACTTCTTATCATGAACATGCCATTTTTCTCATAGTTTCAGGCAAGGTGGTCCTCTGTTTTACTACCAGGCAGTTTTATCTTGCAAATTTCCTCTGCACCAAAGTTATAGAATAGTTGATTAGTAAGGGGAATATTCCATTCACTTGTTTGTGGGAAAATTAGCTGATTAAGCCATCCGATTTGGCTCCGAGTTTTATTTTACCATGAGTCCAGATTGCCTTTGGATCTAATTATACCTGACAAATTGGATGCTTTTTTCCATCCCCTACTCTCCACACAACACCTTTTTTAAGAGTTCAAGCCCGAACTCAATCCCTCTCCACACGGGGATGCATCAAACGCCAAAACTATTTCCAACAAATTGCCTTTTGGATAATATATATTTTGATTTCCAGAGCCGAGCACACAAGCTTTCCGGCCGCTGAATCAAATGCCAAGCTTGCTTTGCAAGGAGGGCCTGGTTTAACATTTGCATGTTAAGGAGGCCCAGACCACCCTGACTTTTAGTTTGTGTTATTTTCTCCCAATACATCCAGTGAACTTGTTGGAGTAATGGGCCACGGGTAGGCTCACCCGAGTCCCAAGATTTACCAAGACTTTGGGCCAGCTCCGCTTAGCTGGGCCCCAAGCCGAAGCTCCGCCCTCTGGGGCCGGCTAGCTCAGTGGCCGGCTGCCAGAGGGCGGATGACTCCAGACTACGGCGCTCCGGGCGGCCAGTTTCTGGCAGCCGCCCTCCAGAGAGGGCGGCAACAGGCAGGCGGCCGTCCTACGACTGCAGCATGGCCGAGCCCCCATACGAGAGTACAAGACGGAGCATGGCTACAGTAAGGCGCGTCGCCTCCGATGCTCAGGACGAGCATGCCTACAGTGCTCCGTACAGATGGAGATCTCTGCACGGCGGGGCACTGTGCCATGTCTCCTCTGACGTTGCTTCGGGCAGGCGGAGTCCTGTTCCCTACGACGGCCTGTCGGTGCGGCCTGCCAGAGGCGGGCCCTACTCGGCAGTGACCTCAGAGAAGGCGGCGAAAGCTCGACCAAGCGGATTCAAGAGAGGTCGGCCTGCAGCAGGCGGCCGTCCCTTGTCCCGAGGCATGCATGCCATTAAGCTGATGAGACCAGGTGTGGCTACAGTAGCCCCCCACTAGGCGGCGGGACTGTAGCCACGCAAAGGTGACCAAGCCCTCGTCACCGACGACATGGCTACAGTGAGCAGCCACCCACCAGTCGGCTGGGCCCCACCAGACGGCGGGCCCCAGCGGTCGGCGGAGAAGCCGGAGGCTGGAGACACTGACAGCCGGGCCCAGCAGCCGGCCAGATTACCATTGTACCCCTAGGGGGTAGGCCTATATAAACCCCCCAGGGCACCCATGCAAAGGGGTCGACCCCATTAGCACTAGCCACCCCATAGAGCAGGAAGAGAGCTGAGCCCTGTCTCTCTCTGCCTCCAGCACACAGCTCGAGGAGCACCATTGTATCACTTGTGCATCAGTGATCATGCGGAGACCCCGCACAGCAGGACTAGGGGTCTTATCTCCTAGGAGAGCCCCGAACCTGGGTAAAGTCCGCCGGCGTTCGTGTCTACGCCTTATCCCTCTTCCAGGCACCGGTGACGTTCTACTCGCTCCCACCATGATAAGCCATCCATTGGCATATGTCGCACCCAACCCCCGACATTTGACGCCCACCATGGGGCGAGGTGCACCTTCTCCCGGAGATCTGCTCTGGACGGGAACCCTGTTCCTTCCTGGCGAGCGAAGCCAGCCCAGCACGCCCGATGGCGTTAGCCTCGACGCGCTGCATGGCACGGAGATCGCCTGCGCGGCGAGTTGCCTCGCTGACCTCGTCGGCGAGATCGACCTCTCCGACGAGCCGGCCTCCGACACGGGCACAAGCTGCCCCGAGAGCCGCCTCGTCAGCCTCCTCGACCAGCTCCATGTCGCCAGCGAGCCGGCTATGGACCTGGATTCCATCGCTCGACCGATCCGATGATCGTCGACTCCGACACGGCGTCGCTTGATGCGTTTCCCACCAGCGTGGTGGTCTACGATGAGCCGCCTCCGCGCGAGTACAGCGGCGGGAGCACCGTCACGGAGGTGCTTGTCATTAACAGCGAGGAGCACTCGGACGGGCGTGCTCAAGATTCCCTTGAGGCCACCCTGCGCGACCTCTTGGCGCCTATCCCTGAGGGAGCGGATGCTGAGGTGTTGGAGGCACGCCGCCTTCATCTTATCGAGAGTGTTGGCCGCCTGGCCAGCATGCGCCGGCTGTCGGACGCCTATCGGCGCGAGATGGACCGGGCCGTAGGTGGCACCCCGGCTCCTGGGGGACCTAGCCGCCTCGGCACGGTTCGGCAGCATGGCGCGGCCATTGCCACCATGTTCGGGGTAGACCGCCCCGTCTACGCCACGCCTGCAGAGAACATCCGGGCCGCCCAGGCGGTGACGGATGAGTTGAACAAGTACGACGGCGACGAGCTCCGCCACATGACCAAGCGAGTCCAACAGCTTCTGGACGCGGCAGCCGCACAACATGAGGCCGCCTGCCGCGCTGAAGACCCAGCCGGACGAGACAACGAGCCGCCCCCACGCCGAGATCATGGGGCGACCTCCTGGACGCCGACTGGTGGCGCCCGCGGAGGAAAGGGCAATGAGACGGCTGCTAGCCGCAGTCGGACACGCATCTCCATCGAGCGGGACGAGGAAGGCCGCCCTCGTGCAGTAGAGCGGCGAGGCGACCTGCCGCCTCCCCCGCCTCGTGGAGCAAGATACCCCACTCCGCCTCTTGTCACACACCCGACACTC